ATCTGTGCCTATGTACTTTGAACGCTATTGTATTGTACGATGATAAATGACGCAAATCACCGAGTGTCTTCTATTTGGGTCAACTGAGAATGGTAATGCTCAACTTACGACGTACCGTAAGGATGCTAGCTATTGTGCAGAATATTCCCACGCGGAAATTTGCTAAAATGCTTCGACGCCAATGAAACTTCGATTATGTGGCTTTTAATCATTTCAACTTAATGCCAAAATAATTATTTATTTTTCATCCAATATTTACATTTTACATTGTTCTTTAATACCTAAACTAAGTAGAAACCTCTATTTTAGATACCACTTCCTTCCTCTTGTTAATTGTTAACAATTATTGGAATTACAATTGACCAAAAACATAACAAAAAGAGATTAAAAATAGTAAATAGCATAATAATCCCATAACAATACACATTTAGTCCCACGCTAAGCAGAGGTTGAGTTATGAGTACTAGACAACTGATATAAATAATTAAATACGATTTTTTTTGCAATGACACACATTGATATGTACATAAAAAACATCCAGACCTATAGGAACAATCATACGCATTAATAAAAATGTTTGTACTGTGCGAGAAATCGAAACCAGTTGCCATCGAAAATAACGTGATGTGCTAATAGTTGTCAATGGAATCGAAAAGTGTTGAAAATTCGTCTTTTTTTTTATTAAATGATGCACATGCCTGCTTTAAGGATATAAGTTAGCGAGACACTAAAAATCCTATTCATCCATTAAAAAGTACCGTATGTTTATCAGGACCCGTATTTAGTAAACGACCAAAACGTTGTAATAGTAACATCGATCAATCGAAGTGGTATGGTGGTGTTAATTTATCAAGATTGTTATTGTTTTGATTATAACATTGTAAGTTAAAAAGAGATGCCTTATAAGATAAGTTATCTGCTTTAATGTCAATACTCTTATTTGGGAAACAACTAAAAGTATCAATTTGAATGATCGATTGATCAAAGACTTGCGAATTTTATGGTGTAACTTTTTTTCTTTTTACTTGGAGAAAATGCGACATGGAGACCCGCACGTCCCGGGGGAGGCGAACGGGGTCTTTGAGACACCTACTCACTAAAAAATCCAAGGTACCTAGACGAAGCGCCTATTGCCGGAGTCACGGGTTCGCAAAGATCGTCCACCGAGACTCCGGTAGAAAATAACCTACATACAAAGGGCTCATAATAATAATAATAGTCTCTAATTAACAATATTTCTTACAATAATATTTTTTAATTCTCTGACAGCGGTACATGAAAACTGTCTTGCTATCCAGCTTAAACCTTCCATAGAGTTCGCCATCAAATGCAAATCTGCGCTTGTCTTTTTCCCCACTTTTGTGTTCTTTTTCTCCACTATTTTTTGTATCTTCTTCTCATCTTGTCTCGTCTTTTGTATTGTCTGGCACCAATGTGTAACATCCTTAGACCATTTATCCTTCTTGCTCCTAAACATGTCCTGCCCACCTCCATTAAATTTCTTAGTACAGTCAATAAAATAGATTCTAGTTTTCCTACACGTTACAAAAAGGTCTTATTAGTTTGTAAACTTAAAACTACGTTATAACGAGTTCTTTAGAATATACCAAGGGCTGTGTGCTGAAGAATAGTCGATATGATATGATGGATCGATATAATGGTAGAACCATGGCACGGTCTGCCATAGACAGAGAATTCGTTCCCTTTCGGTCTCAGATAGTCGGTTTGAGAGGAGCTTCTTTCCGCGTACACTTAGATTGTGGAATAAACTATCTGGCGAGGTTTTCTCGCAAGACATGGGGGTTTTCAAGATATATTAAGGTTTCTTAAAGGTCGCGATCGCGCACGTGACACCACTGGTGTTTCAGGTTACGCTCCATAAGCTACGGTAACCATTTACCATCAAACCAGCCGTATGCTTGAATGGTACCATCGTAGTATAAAAAAAATATTGCCAATTTTTATTTGGCATTAATATCGTTCATCAATAATAATAATACAATTTATTAAGTATTTGGATAATTTAAAATGACATTAGGACGTAAATGATTTAATGTAATGAAGTACTGCAATAACAGATCGTTACACGAAAACAATCTTTGTATTTGCGTACGCGCACGGGTCATTGACTTAACAGTTTTTTATTTCGATACTGACATAGATTTCCGGTGCAAGATGTTGATTACCTGATTACCTTCTAGATAGATGAGATAGCATAAATAGACACGTAAGCTGTAAATTAACCGATCATTGATAATGATTTATAATCATCAGAATCAGATTGGGAACTTTATCATTTTTAGTTGATTGTTTTTTATATGGTACCTATTCAAATGTCACGGTGATTGGAAGAGTATAGAACACCAACTTTTTAAAAAAAATAAATGTAAAGCAGTTTTTTCCGATAAAAGAGACTGAAAATTTGCCCCTGAATACAAAATATATAATATAAATATAAAAATAGTGTCTTTAGCCTTCCTGATACAATATTCATGCCTAATTTTAACAAACATTATGATCATTATATAAGTTAACGAACGATTAAAATAATAATAAATCAGGATAATTCACGTAACGCCATCAATCAATAGCTTGTAGTATTACCGGTACTAGACATCTTATATAAATATTTAAATACATTTTTTTACAATATAATTAGAAAACATCCAGACAGCTACAAACAACTCTAAACATGAATACAAATGTTTAAACTGTGCGAGGAATCGAACCCGCGACAATCGGTAATAAGGCGTTATAGTGTTTAAATCGCTAGACCACTAAAGTCGCGAAAAGTTAACTAACAGACGGAGAGACACACTTTCACATTTATAGTATTAGTATTCATAACATGGATTAGTATGGATTGCATTAACCCCCGATTTCTTAAGTGACAATCCGAGCCTGTAGACAAACTATTCATTGAGTAAAAATGTACAGCATTGTCTGAAAAGAGTCTCACAAAAGCTCTGTGAATAGCATTCATTTAAGCATACGTAGACTTAAATCTCGATGTTGCGACATATATCCGCTATCTTCTATGCAATTGTACCACAGCAGAGTGCGTGGGATCACCGCTCAGCATCATAATTGGAGTCGCCATCTATGCCGATCTATGCTAATGCGGGCTGCCCCATTACATAGCACTTTCCTACATTACCAACCGTTACATCCAAATATGAACCTTATTTATTCAATCTTTAGGTACTTAAAGTAATGTTAATGAAGTGAAGAATATCACTGATGGTCAGAATGATGGAGATCCTCCCTATTTCACAGCCTCGATAAGAAATATTGTGGCAACAGATCGCACAGTTCGTATTCATAATACTAATTAAGAAGGTGTGGTCGCGAGTAGATTGTATCAGAATTAGAATTGGTTTGCTTGCAATAAGTCTGTCTTTAATTCAAATAGCTTTATAGAAGTTATTTGCACTTATTAATGTTATTCCAAGAAGATATGTAATTTTACTAATCTTTACCTATACTAGGTAACACAAAGTCGACCGTCGCTGTCTTATCATTTATATCTTAAATTACGCCACGGATTTTAATGCAGTTTTCAGTAATAGTTAGAGTGACTCAAGAGGAAGGTTTGTATGTATCGTAGGTACATGTATTATAGTATAGAACAAACCATGCGAAGCCGGGACGGGTCGATAGTACTATATAAAATAGATTGGTGTATTGAAATCGTAAAATGGCGAGATATTGATATTGGCAGTTGCAATAATAATACTCTTATCCGAAATAATCCTTAGTCCATTACAATTAGGTTTAGTTTAGTGAGGTTTTATTCAACTAGAACCATGCACTTCACGCGTTGCAATTTCAAAGATTTATTTAGTAATAACTGGAAGTTTGCACGTGATGAACTGTGAAAACTTGGCAACGTATTTAAGACTTGGTTAATATTAAATTTTACACTCATCATGTCTATTCCTGTAATGAAAGTAAAATGCGAAATGCGCTTTCTACTCTCTAAACTTAGTGTGAACAATGAGTCATTCCTTCTTTATATATTTTTTTTAATCATCTGCCGCTTAACAAGACTTAGGCGGTCGTACCATAGGATTAAAGTGCCTCCTAGTCCTTTATTTTACTGCAATAGCTCATCCTTCGAATGAGTTGAAACAACTTTCAAAGTAAACTGGTTGACAGGTAAAATACGTACTTAATGACGAGGTGTCTACGCAGACTTTTTTTTCTCCGATAAAATTTAGATCTGATAATAGGACTAAAAATTTACACTATATTTATGTATAAGTCAGTTCGAATTTGTCAAAAATGACTTTTAAATAGATATTTTAATATAACATGAAAGAACACCTAATTTAGGAAATGAACGATAAACTGGCAGCCCTGTATAGAGATTTGTTTACCGTTATTAACATCACAGCTTGTTCAAGCAATACGCTGGAAACTGGCCTAGTAATACTCGTTGAGATATTCGATCATTAGATGATCGGGTGAAGGATAAAAAATGATTCATAAATGCAATGAAGAACGAGGAACTTAAGATAAACAAAGTCTAACTAGTCTCAAACTAAACAGAAATCTTTTGGTACCATAGATATGAAGCTTGCTTAATGACAGATATATAAAAACATTCATTTATATTATATAGAAAAACAATAAATGAATTCTAATTCAATAATGACAAGATCAAGATACAAACTAAGGCATGCATGCATTTTCATGCCTCCCTAATTGGGGGAAGGGGATTGTTAGTAATGTGGACTTATAACCCCATTGGCTAGCAATGTAATGTATCAGGTTGACCTTCGCGTGGTTCTCCCTGGTATCATCGTGATAAAATTATGGTAAATTATGACTAACTGACCTGACCTTATGCTCGTCTTATCATTGTCCACTGATGCCCCACCAGCGTAAACCGTTAGCGTAGGTGCACATTTCATTGTCATTAATAATAAAAAACAACCTGATTACAATTATTCTCAAGTCGCAAATTATTTATAGTCTTCTCTTTTTTTTTGTTTCAGGCGTCAATGGATCTTCCACCGGATAAGGCGAAGCTGCTACGAAACTATGATCTGGAGAAGAAATGGGAGATCATCTGTGATCAGGACATGGTGCAAGCGAAGGACTCCCCAGGACACTACCTCAATAAACTTAGAACGTATCTGGACCCTAAAGCATCTAGGAGTCATCGGGTAAGCGTTTAAGTCTTTCTTTTTATCAGTTTAACAAGATTAGTAATTTCTATATATATTTAATTAGGTGTTATTTTGCGGAAGTCCATTTCACTACTCGATGGATTTAATTTTAATTATATACTTATATAATAATTTCTATATACTTATGTATGGACATTGTCAGTCTCATCTACATCAGCCGTCAAACAACTTGCTTTATATTATACTAGCTTTGCCAGCGGTTTCAACAGCGTGAAATTTATATCCTATGTGTTATTCTGATGTATAAGCCTTGTTATTCTAAAGTTTCATTAAAATCTATACACATAAACTTTCGCGTTTATAAGATACTATTTAGCGTGAGATATTCATGAAGCGTTCATTTATATATACGTCGGTTACTTACCATCGGGCGGACCGTCAGCTGGTTTCCCAATTCTATTACATAAAAAAGTTACTTAGAGAGGCATACCAGCTTAGTCCTCAGCAATGGCAACGTTTGACTGGTAGAATGGACGTCATATACCGACTAAATGTTTGTGGCGTTCCGAAAAACCCGGGACAAATTCCATAATACCAGTTATTTCCGATATATATATTTGTGCTATAGGTTTTAGACAACTGATTGCAATCCTTTTTTTAATAAATACATACATAATATGTATACATAGAATATACCCAGACCAATATAAATAATCATTCTCATGAATACCAATTTTTGTACTGTGCGAGGAATCAAACCTGCAACCATCGGAAGTAATGCTATACCCCTAGATCACCGAGGCTGTACATAATAAAGATTTTAAAACAATAAAAATGCGTGCGAGTGTGAAAGATTGTATGAGCTTACACAAAAAGCAATAATGTGTTCATCTTACAAATAAGTTGAAGATAAAGATGTTGGAGCTAGTAGATCTTAATGAGAGATCGGTATTTAGGACGCGGACGAATAAATTAATGTAATTATAGTAGGCGTGTATATCTGTCGTATCATTAAATGGACGCTGCACTGCCTGCTTGCCGCTTGTCATTTATAAAGGATATTACTGATCTTGTTGTAGTTCATAAATCTAAACCGGTATTATAGAGAGAAAAGTTTTGTTTTTTATTAACCGACTTCAAAAAAGAGGAGGTTCTGTATTCGACTGTATTGTTTAAGTTTGTTTTTGAGTTCGATATACAAAGAAATGATATTTAAAATGCCTTCAAATATATAATGCTGCATTATCAACGACGATGACTGTTATTTTTGTTTTTAAAAAATACTGTTTATTTCCATCACCTTGAGTTACGTAAAAAAACAGGTCAACCTATTGATGGTAAGTGGTCCTTTGTTTTTATATACTAGGTGTATAAGTATGAAACCGGATTTTTCTTAAAAGTGCCGCCAAAATGCTTACGGTGCTGAAACTTATTATATATTGTTGTTATATAATCAAAAAGCCGCCACTTTTGCATTTAGATAATTTTTATATTACCGCCGAAAATGGCTGGGTACATGCCGTCAAGTGAGGTTCAGCGGGAAAATCTTCTATTCTGTTTTCTTTTACACAAGACCGCCGAGGAAGGTCACCGAGACCGAAGACGAAGAGCTACAGAAGTTGTATTGCAGATCCAGCGTGACCCAACCTCTCGCAACGCTTGAAGGCGTTGGAAAAGAAAGTTCGGGAAGTGGGTCCCACATGAATTGAGCGAAAGACAGATACAGCGGCGAGAAACCACTTGTCAGATGCTCCTTGCCAGGTTCGAAAGGAAAGGATTTCTGCACCGGATTGTAACTGGAGATTGGATCTATTTCGAGAATCCTATAGATGATAGGTACTTCGGTGAAATCAGCAGTGAAGCAACATCGTTTTGGAAAAAAAGACCATGCTTTGCCTTTTTTGGGATCAGAAGGATCTGGTGTACTACGAACTGCTCGAGCCTGGCCAGACGGTCGACCAGTTTCGTTATCAACAACAAATGAGAGGTTTGACCGCAGCTCTGCTTGAAAAACGCCCGGAATGGCAGGAAAAGCACGAGGGAAAAATCTTGCTACACGACAACGCCCCGGCTCACAGGACAAATGCGACAAAAGAAGTGCTCGCAGGACTCGGCTGGGGGATTCTACCCCACCCGCCCTACTCTCCAGACCTTGCTCCATCCGACTATCACATTTTCGCATCAATGGGCCACGCATTGTCTGAGCACCGCTTCGCCAATTTTCAAGAAGTGTCAAAATGGGTCGAAAATTGGTTCGGGTCAAAAGGTGAAGAATTCATCCGCCGCGGAATTCGAAAATTGCCCGAGAGGTGGGAGGCTTGTGTGGCTAACGAAGGAAAATATTTCGAATAAAATCGCCCCTATGTGTCTAGAGTATTAAACGATAATTTTTTTCAAAAATCAGTCCGGTTTCATATTTATACACCTAGTATATAGTATATGAACAGCATCACAACAGGAAATAACGTCGTCACGTGACCCCTCATGCGTGGCCAGATAAATAAGGTACAATGCCTCCGTAGTACTAGTATTCATTCATAATTTAAAAGTATTTCAAACAATCATACGCATCAATACAAATATTTGTACCGTGCAAGGATAGAACCCGCGACCATCGGAAGTAAGGTGGTGAGCTAAACCACTAACCCACTGACGCCGTTATTTATTTAGGTATTAGAGTTTTAATAAAATATCGCTCCCGTATCAAGCCGATACGGTTGACTAATCTAGAATATTCGATTGAATGAAAAAATACGTTCTCTACTACATGCAATTCCCATAACTCGGAACCCATGACAGCATACCGTTATGTAGACAATGAACAATATATCACAAAGGTCTATCGATAGCGCAGGCTTTGAGGAGACGGCCAGTAATAACGGATAGAGGTCCAGTAATGAGAGCTAATGGCCGTCGCCAGAGGGCGCCACTGACCCTAGATTCGATACCGATACGGTCAGGTGAAGTTTTCATTTGTGTCGCCGGTGCAGGAACGCCGGGGGCTATGTTACGCCCCTTAGTGTTTACAATAGATTAATGAAGTGGATTTTCTTGTGGTTTATTGTTATTAGAAACCAAAGAAGAAAGGTTGAGCGCAACTTGGATATAATTATAGTACCTATACTAGCTGAGCGATGTTGCTCGCGTAAAATTTATAGCCTAAGTTCCATCAAAATCCGTTCAGTAATTTTTGCGTGAAAGAGTAATAAATATTCATCCATCCATATATCCATCCATACTCACAAACTTTCGCGTTTATAATACTATTGAGATACGTAAAACAGCGAAAATCATTTGAAATGCCAGTTAGATATATTTATAATATTCTAAATATCTCCTTTGGAAAATATAGACTATATCATGTAAAAACTATCGCTCCTAAGAATATCCATTAATTATTGTCCCTGACGGGTCTAGGTGGCGAACTTTAAAAAAGGGCGAGTACAATAAATCTTTGCAGGTCGCAGTGCTACAGATCTTAACACCTAACAAGAGCACAAAACTCTCAATAAAAAAAAATGTTACATATTTATTTATTTTTTATGAGAAAATGGAAATGGATTTATTGAATTTTTTTTAAACTAATTTATCCTTTAGATGATACATTACCATCTGAAAGTTTCTAAATCTATTGTCCTGTTGAATAAAAAATTAAGGGTATAAATAGACTACCTATGTTGTCCCAAACTTAATGACCGACTGTGACTTCTTCATATTAATAAACTTTTATGCAATACCCTAAATGGTTTACAAATCTACGATCACAAAATCATGTGAGAATTACATTTTTAAAGACAATCCTGCATGGCAATAGTTATGATCAACTATTGCCATGCACGATTGTCTTTAAAAATGTATTTTTTATTTAATACTAGCTGACTCGGCAAACTTTGTTTTGCCATAAAAATAAAAAAAAAAATTAGGGGTGGACTACCCCTAACATTTAGGGGGATGAAAAATAGATGTTGGCCGATTCTCAGACCTACTCAATACACTCACAAAATTTCATGAGAATCGGTCAAGCCGTTTCGGAGGAGTTTGGGAATGAAAACTGTGACACGAGAATTTTATATATAAGATTATACTTAGACACCTACATAAATATACAATGTAAAACGAACTTCTAAAAAAAGAAATTCAGTTGAGTTTCTTGCCAGTTCTTCTCAATTGAATCGGTATACTCAACTGGACGGTAGGGAAATTACAAAATATTTTACGTTCATAAGCAGCTATAATGTTCTACATGAATAAATGATATAGGTAGGGTAATATTTGACTTATAGTTTTGGCTTCGTAATAATTTATTCTTATAGACATGAGAAGATAATGTGTAAAGCTTCTAACTAATTTAAATATTTTAACCTGATATATCCTTGATAGTTTGTAACTGTTATTTTATCAGCTTGTTTTCTATACTCTAATTACTAATGAGGCTTTTTGTGCCTCAAGCCTTTTCCTGTTTGATCAACGTGTTCTGATCAACGCAAAAACTTGATACAACAATTTAGGTTATGCCAACAAAAAGCCGTGCGTACCGGTTCATCTCCACTAGAGAAAACTGATTGATAGCAATCACAGGGCGTTTAGAGCACGCGATTGTAACTGATATAGATAATATCATGAGCGTTATATGGGTATATTTCTACAACGCGTTTTTCTATAACGTAAAACGTAAAAGAACCAATTTACCGTATTACAAACATAATAATAATACTGTTTTGTTTGTTACTTATTAGTAACTAGCTATAGCTACGCCCCGGCTTCGCCAGGGTGTACATGTTTATACATATAAACCTTCCTCTTGAACCACTGTATCTAATAAAAAAAACCGCTTCAAAATCCGTTATGTAGTTTTAAATATTTAAGCATACATAGGGACAGACAGCGACAGGGACTTTATTTTATACTATGTAATGATACTTAACAATCAATATTATGACTGACCGGTAACAAAATTACAACAAAGGATAATGAAATGAACGCCACAGTGTTATCAGATACGGTATGTGAAATAAGAAAGTAAAGTACATATGTAA